AAAAAAAAAAAAAAAAAAAAAAGAGATCAAGTCCTGCAGTCTGGCATGCCGGAGGACCTCCCATTTAGGGCCAGCAGAGGGAGCCCTTGTGCAGAAGGACTATTCCCTGGAGTCTGGCATGGAGTTTGGGCCTGGCTCCTGCAGTAAGGGAAGCCCTATCTAACCAAAGGCACCTAGTCCAGAGCAGTCCAGCTAGGTTTTCGCTAGTCTTAAGTGGTCCCCTCACTTTCTGTCCTGGGTCCCCAAGACCACTTAGTAACTCTATATGACTTCAGTAAAACCGTGACATTCTGACATTCTACAGCCTGAACACAGGAGACAGAGACCAGGCAGGGAAAGAGCCCAGCACCAAGTGGGGAGGAGGGAGCCGCTGGAGGGGCTCTGCTGGCCCATGGAAGGAAGCCTGCTGTGACAAAGTGGTGGCCCAAGAGGGTTAGGGGTAGGGCTCCAGACCACCGGGCACCTCCACTTCTGCAGGGCTTTGCTGGGTGGGAGAAGGAGAGGGACAGGTGCAGGGCGTGGGGAGTGAGAGGCCTGGCTCAGACAGCACTTGGGGTCCTAAAGGAGACAGGGCCAACTCGGGGCTAGAGGACAGAAGGGTGTCCGCAGCTCCAGCTGCAGAACGTGGATGGAAGCGGGAGAGCTGCAAATGGGCCATGACTGGACATGGTGCCAGGGCAGCAGGGTGCATGGGTCACAGGGGGCCCGCAGTGAGTGTCCTTTCTAGCCCGAGGGAGGGTTAGGGAAGGGGCTGCGTGCTGCAGAGTCTGGTGCTGGCCACCAAGAAGGAAAGGGAACAGTTTGGACATCCAGATGGGCAGGCTGGGGCTGAACCGGGCAGTGAGGGTGGAAGTAAAGGTGGTTTCCATCTCCTCAGCTGGTGGAAGCGGTGATGTCACACAATGACAGTGACACCCAGGGTGGAGAGGGCTGCCTCCATCTGCCCTCTCCCATGGGGAGGAGACGAGTAGGGAGTAGGGCCAAGTGTGGTGCCTGAGCCCCAACCAGAGCTCAGCCCTGGACCCACAGGATGGCACAGGCCTGGCTGACGGTTCCGCTGTGCACCGCTCTCTCAGTTTTGGCAATCTAGAAAGTTAGCATGAACTGGTACAGCGGGGCCAGAGTGACCCTTCCTCAAGGGTGCCCGCTCTGTGAGAGCACATGCTGGCTGGCTGTGCCTGCCTCCCCACCAGCTCCCTGGGCACAGCAGCTCACTGGTTCAGCTCCACTCACCACACCTCCTGGCAGCAAGGTGTACGTGGGGCTGAAGCTGGTGGTCAGGCAGACAAGGACCTTTCATTTGTGCATGCCTAACCTGCATGCATCTAGAATGCCATCCTCACTTGGAAAGAAAGACCCACTCTCATTGAAGAAAAGCAGAAAGATACCTGTGGTCTCATGCGTGGATTCCATCGTACGTAATAGTTTACCCATAGCTCCAAGTGACTCAGACTAGCAACAGGATATAAGACGTGGTTTTCATAATTCACAAAAAAGGGATTAGAAAATTCATCTAGCTGGCTATTGATATAAGACCATAAAGATACAGTCTTTGAATGTATATCCTGAAAAACAAAAAAGGAATGGTATGAAATAAACTTTTCTTCATATCCTCACGGATTAGCATTACAGAGAGAATGACTTGAATACTGCAGTGAGTCCATGCCTGAGAAACACAGGGACATTTACCAAGCCCCCCACCATGGCCTCCTATGAGCACAAGAGAACATACACTGGGGGCTGTCCGGGCAAAACACTGCTCGGTGCAGCAACGTCTGGCAACTGTGTGGGAGGGTGGAAAGAGAATTCCACCACAAACAGGATGCCAAGGCCCACCAGTGACAGATACATATGAACTCTGGCTTAAGGTTCACTCTGTGGTTCTTCACACTGAGAAATGTGGGTAGAATTTGCAACCGAGATCCCTTACAGTGAAAAACCATGGCTAAGTGCAGAAAGACATAGTATGGTGGCAAGCGGAAAAAGTATTGTGTCCCCTCGACAGACAGCAGCCTGTTTGGACATGCTATGCCATCTGCGAGAACGCCTGCATCTGTGGGCAGGGTAGGGTGGGTACAGAGACAGTAAACAGTGGAAGGTCAAAGGAAGAGACTGCCAGGCCAGAGGACGCCACTCTTCTGCTGCCCACGCGCTGCTTGCTTCCCCTAGGGACATTCAGATAGGACTTATTTATAAGAGAAACACCACCAATAACTCAAAGGATCCAGAATAGTCAAGGTGGTCTTGAAAAAAGAGGAACAAAGTAGAGGACTCACACTTTGCATTTTCAAAACTTACTATAGCGCTACAGTAATCAATACCAGCAGTGCTGGCGTAGACTGGACACAGAGATCGATAGGACAGAGTACAGAGAGTAGCAATGCTGATTTGCCACAAGTGGGGCGAGATAGTTCAAGCAGGGAAAGAGCCTCTCCAGCCAACAGTGCCAGGACAGGCAGGTAACCTACACAAAGCAAGGAAGTAGGACTTGGGCTCCCATCAGACACAAAGTGCGCCACAGACCTAAACAGAAGTGCTAAAACTCTAGTACTCTTAGAATGGAAACAGGACCAAATCGTTGTGATCCTGACTTATGCAACAGTTTCTTAGGATAGTAAAAGCACAAGTAACAAGAGAAAAAATAGATAACTGGACTTCATCAAAATTAAAGTTTACTTCCATGGGCATCAAGACAGAAGACAACCCACAGAAAGGGAAAAATTTTGCAGCTCATATAAAAGATTTGTATACATAAAAATGTATAAGGAACTCCCAGAATTCATAATAAAAAAAGACAGAAAACCCAATTAAAATGGGCAGAGGGTCTGAACACACATTTCTCCACAGAAGATATACAAGTGGCTAATAAGCACATGAAAAGATCATTGATCATCAGGGAAATATAAATCAAAACCACATCACAGGAAACAAGATCAACATTTTAAAAATCTATAGCTTTTCTATAAACCAATAATGAACCCACTGAGAAAGAAACCAAGAAAAAAATTTCATTCATAGCCCAAATACCCATCAACAAATGAGTAGATAGAGAAAATGTGGGTTTTATGTACAGTGGAGTACTACCATCAAGAAGGATAAACTCGTCGGGCGTGGTGGCGCACGTCTGTAATCCCAGCACTGGGGAGACTGAGGCAAGAGGATCTCGGTGAGTTCCAGACCAGCCTGGGCTACATAGTGAGTTCCAGGTCAGTCTCAACTATATAGTGAGACCCTGCCTCAAACCCCCCCCCCAAAAAAAAGAAGGATAAACAAGACATTTTTAGGTAAATGGATGAATGTTGAGACCATACTTTTAAGTGAAATAAATTGGGCACACATTTAAATGTCACAGTTTCTCTTGTGTGAGAAACTGAAATGGTAAATAAGGACCAAAACGATGATAGATATTGGGAAATAGGAAGAAAACATTCAAATGGGAAGAGGAGCAAGGGAGGGGGGACAGGGAAGGGAAGGGAAGGATGGAACAAGAAAAAAAGAGAATAGAAAGAAAAACTGGAAACAAAGCTTTTATAAATAAGGGAAGGGAGGGGAAAGGACTGGGGAAAAAGAAGAAGGAAGATATATTGTATACAGGTACAGATTCCCTATGATCAACATGATCATTATGTGTATCAAAAGTGTACCAATACAATTAATTCAGAAAAAAATCCCATTCACAATATCTTAAAAAAATAAAATATCCATGAATCAACCTAACCAGAGAGGTGAAAGTCATCTACAAAGCAAATTTCAGAACACTGAAGAAAGTGAAGAGGACATCAGAAGGTGAAAAGACCTCCCAGGTTCAAGGATTGGCAGAATTAATACTGTTAAAATGGTCACATTACCAAAATTTATCTACAGATTCACTGTAATCCCCATCAAGATGCCAGTGGCATTCTTCACAGAACTAGAAGAAAATCCTAAAATTCATGTGGAAACACAAAAGACCCAGGATAGCCAAAGCAATCCTAAGCAAAAGAGCAAGGTACCAGAGTATCTGATTTCAAATTATGCCACAAAGCCATAGTAAAAAAAAAAAAATTCTATAGGCACAAAAACATACACAAAGACCAGAATAGAGGACACAGAAACAAAATGAGAAAAAGACAGCCTCTTTAACAAATGATGTGGGGGAAACCAGATATCTATATGTAAAAGATTGAAATATGTACATTTCTATTATCCGGTGGAAAAATCAATTCAAAATGGACCAGAGACTCACATAAGACCTGAAAGTTTGAAGCTGCTAGAAGGTAACATAGGAGAAATACTTACAGCCAGGGGCACAGGTGAAGACTTTGTGAACAGGACTCTAACAGCATGGGAAATAGCAAGAATCAACAAATGGGACTACATCAAGTTAAAAAGCTTCTGCTACTCTGCTGACAGAGGATTAGAATCTAGAATATATAAAGAACTAAAGAAAATAACAAAAAATCCAATAGCCCAATCAGTAAATGGCCAAATGAATTGTACAGACACTGCTGAAAAGAACTATAAATGGTCAATAAGTATATGAAAAATACTCAACATCTTTAACCATTAGGGAAATGCAAATCAAAACACTGAGATTCCAACTCACCCCAGTCAGAATGGCTGTCATCAAGAATAACAAAAGACAATATATGTTGGCAAGGATGCAGGAAAGAAGGACCCCTCTTACACTGCTATGGGAATGTAAACTAGTGCAGCCTCTGTGGAAATCAATATGGATCCTCAAATAACTAAAAAGAAAACTACCATCGGACTCAGCCATACCAATCCCTGGTATCTACCCAATGGATTTAAGGTCAGTATTCCACAGGACACCTGTGTATCTATGTTCATTGCAGCACAGTTCACAACGGCCAAGATATGGAACCAGCCTGAGTGCCCATCAACAGATGAGTGGACAAAGAAAATGTGATATACACAAACAATGGAGTAATATCCAGCCACAAGTAAGAATGAAATGATGTAATCTGCAGGAAAATGAATGGAACTAGAGATCAATACATGAAGTAAAATAAGCCAGAATCTGAAAGATTAAGAATAACAAGTATCCCCTGGCATGTAGAATCTAAAAAAGATGGCATGGAAGTAGAAGGGAGATTATTATTAGACAAGAGGAAGGGAATTGGGAGGGAAAAGGGACTACAAAGGATAGCAGTTGGGGGATGGCTACGATCAAAATATATGCATGTATGAGAATACCACAGTGAAACCAGTATTTTATAAAAATTAATACGCACTAATAAGATATATTCTAAGCAGTCATATCATAGCACCCAGCAGAATTTTTTTAAAGAAAATAGGTGTTGCTGAAATATGGAGAATCGGAACCCTTACTTAGACAGTGGGAATGTAAAATGCTACAGATGTTTCAGAAAGCAGTCTGGTTGTTTCCTGAATAGGTTAAATGCAGAGTTACTGTATGACCCAGCAATTCCATTCCTAGATTTACACCCAAGAGAAATGAAAGCACATATCCACAAAAAGACTTGAGTGTTTATAGCAGCATTATTCATAATAGCCAAAAAGAGAAACTACGCAAATTTCTATGAAGCGATGAATGGATAAACACAATGTAGTCCAGCCACACAATGGAATACTGCTCGGCCATACAAAGGAACGAAGTACTGACAGGAGTGAACCTTGAAAACACTCAGTGCTACATGGAGGAAGTCAGTCATAAAAGTCTACCTATGAAGTGACTCCATTTATGTGAAATGTCCAGAATAGGCAAACTCATAAAGACAGAAAGCAGATTAGTGGTTTCCAGGGTGCAAGGGGAATGAAAAGTGAGTGATAATGGAGCTAGGGTTTCTTTTGTGGGTGATAAAAATTTTATGAAATTAGATTTTGGTGGTGGTACAAAATCTGTGAGTAGCCTAAAGCCACTAAACTGTACACATTTTTATTTATTTTAAGATGAGGTCTCGCCACACTGTGGGCTCAGGCAATCTTCCCACCTCAGTCTCCTGAGTAGCTGGGACTACAAGCGTGTGCCCTTGTGCCTGACAGATGATTGGATGTCATGGTATGTAAATTATATCTCTAGAGAGCTCACTTTTTAAATGAAGATTAAATCTCATGCCCCCAAAACCCAGATAAACCCATAATTTAAATTCCTTTTTTTCAATTTTTAAAGTTTGCATTTATTTGCAGCTTAAATTCTTTTGGGTAGTGCAATAGCAATGGTATGAATATGACAAGTGATGTTTTATATTGCTATTTTGGCATGATTTTCCCTTAAAAAACACACATACAAAATTAGAAACTGGCTTGCCAGAAGGCTTTGTTTTGATATATGATGATTTACTCCATAAATCAATAAAAACAGGATTCACGAATAAATCATATTCTATAATATACTTAAACAGTTAAACATAATCACATTTGAAAATATGTCTGATGGAAATTAACTGAAGTAAACTGTACTCTTTTTTGCGGGGGGCTTTGAGACAGGGTCTCACTATGTAGTTGAGACTGACCTGGCACTCACTATGTATCCCAGGCTGGCCTCAATCTCACAGGGATCCTCCTGCCTCAGCCTCCCGAGTGCTGGGATTATAGGCGTGCAACACCACGCCTGGCTGTATTTTTTTTCAGATTATTTTACATGAAGTACTTTATAAACAGAATGCAGCTTGTGGAAGGTCATGAGTTTAATTATTTTAGCATAATTTAAATTTTTAAAAAATTTTATTAGGGGCAGGGGATTTGGCTCAGTGGCACCGTGCCTGCCTTGCAAGCTCAAGGTCCTGAGTTCAATCCCTGGTACCAAAAAAAATTTTTTATTAGTGCCTACTAGTTTTACAGATCAACAGGGTTTCATTTTGGCAGACTCACACATGCAGGTAGCATACTTTGATCGTCCCCCATCAACCTCTTCTCCCTTTCACCCCTTAGTCTCTTCTCTAGGACTCCGTCCTATATAGTTTAAATTCTAATATATGAACTTTGTTCTTCCACTTTTTTATTCTAAACGCTTTTATTTAGATATAATTCACATACCATGACATTTACCTATTTTCCTTTTCATTGAGAAGTTAACGGGTTCCATCACATTGGGCATGGAGCATGGATTCTGTCCTACTCTAGAGAGCCATGGGCCCACAGGTTCCAGCCCTATAAAGATATTTGTGCTGGGGCTGCTGGAACCCTGGGCAGTGTCTAGAACAGCAGGTCCAGAAGCCCTTCCTGTGAAAGGCACCCGGGCCACAGGGGAAGCAAAACTACTTACCTCTTTGAATCTCTCTTGTTCACAGTTGCACAGAAAGGTCCCAAAGAGACAGCTATAAAGGTGATCCAAAATTGTCATCAAGAATAGTTCATTAAACTCAAATGCCGAAGGAAACTTTAAGTGGAGAGAAAAACAAATTTTAGTCTTGAAGTTCAATTTCTAAAACAAAGTAATAACACATTTCTGTGAATGACAGCTATACTATAATCTGGAATCGACTCCAAGATTCAAAGGCAGATTGAGCCCTGTGAAACTTATCTAGTTTCAAGTCAAAGCTGATAGACCTGGCAGAGACACAACCAGACACAGCACAATGTGTTATGCTCTTCAATGACTAAAATGTTTATGTATCTTCCACTTCGCGTTAGGCAGAACAGAGGCCAGATTCACCCTTCTGCCAGAAACAACTAGAAAGCTGGATAAAGTATACAAAATGAATGTTTTCAGACACCGGAAGCAGGCAACACAGAGCTGTGCCACTAAGGAAAGGAAATAAATGAGGGGAGCACTATATTGTCCCAGCTTCCTGCCTGGAAGCACAGCAAGCCACAGGGCCAAAAGCAACTCAAGAAGAGAAAACAGATCTGAGTAGCTCTATGTCTATTAAAGAGCTTTCCCCAAAACAGTAGCCCACAAACCCTTAGCAATATATGACCAAACTGAGCCTGGAGGTATATACAAGGAATAACACGACAAATCAAGTGGTGTTGATCTTAGGAAGGGAAGGCTGGTTTAACATTTGAAAATCAGGCTGGGGGTTTAGCTCAGTGGTGCTGCTGCCTGCCTTGTAAGCACAAGGACCTGAGTTCGATCCCTGGTACAAAAAAAAATGACAAATAACATATGAAAATCAATATCACCACAAATCAACTGCTCTAATTCATTATATTAACAAGGACAAGAAAACCACAGGATCATCTCAACTGTTTTAGGCCATTCATAATGGGGTTCTGCAGACTTGCAGTGAAGACTCTCAGCACTGTTAACAGGTTCTAGCCAGCAGCTGGCATTTAGTAGCCAGGAGACATCTGGAAAGAGTAATAATGACTGCAGCAGCAGGCATGTACTGAGTGCCTGCCATGTGCCAAAATTCTAATTTTAAAATACAGTGAAATATCCATCACTTACTGAATGAAGCAAAGCCAACTAGAACAGAACCCAGTAGAATCACTCAGTGTGTCTGCCTTTAAGGCAGTTTACATTAAAGACCTATACTCCAGCCAGAGTGATATTTGCCTACTCTCGTGACTAACCCTGACAATCTCTAAATGACAACCGGGATCAGAGATTGGCAAGTTCAGTTTTTTAGCTGAGCTTTCCTCCTTTACTAGAGTAGCAACAGGCACAAACAACAGGACTGTCCAAAGTCCACCTGGAAACGTTATTTTCCTCACCAGGTTGTTATATTCACAGCTACACTGAGTAAATATTGGCCTCCCTCTCCCTCCTGGATTTGTCTCATAGAAACATGCAACTGTCTTCTAAGGACCCCCAGCAGAATAGTGCCTCTGGAAACTAGCTATGGTAATGTTCTTACTGGCATTCTTGTTCTTAGATGACCTAGATCAACAGTGTAACGTTCATGGATGAAATGCTAACAACAGCCACGGGTTAATCCTCCGCTGGGCCTTTGATGTTGCCCCCTAAAGCCTCAAGAGTGGCAGCCACTTCTAAGCAGCTATATTATAAAGGGCCAGGTGCACCACGTCCACTTTTCCACCACTTTCTTCTGCCAGCCATTTAGTTATATCCTATTCATAAAATTTTTGGCACCACACAATTTATTAATTTTAAGCAAATATATACTGTTTCCATATACTGAAGATTTAAAAATCAAGAGAAAAGGGTAAAGATGTAGGGTGTGGCCCTATGTTCTATTTTCAAACATTTAGGGCTGGGGATTTAGCTCACTGGTTCTGCTGTCTACCTCGCAAGCTCAAGGTCCTGAGTTCAATCTCTGGTACCAAAAAAAAAAAAAAAAAAAAAAAAAAAAAAAAAA